CCTCAGACACATAACACTCACTAGATGTGTGACCCTGGGCAAGTCACTTAACTCCATTGCCTAGCCAAAAAAAAAAAAGAGTCCATACCTTCACCAGGCTGTCAAAAGAGGTCCATGACAAAAAATGTTTAAGAACTTCTGTATAGGGGGTAGTTAGATGGTGCAGTGGATGGAGCACTGGCCCTGGATTCAGGAGGACCTGAGTTCAAATCTGGCCTCAGACACATAACAATTACTAGCTGTGTGGCACTGGGCAAGTCACTGAACCCCATTGCCTAACCAAAAAAAAAAAAAAGAACTTCTCTATAGAAGTTTGTTCTTTAGCTATGGATTGTATTAGTTGGCCTCTGAGATCTCTTCGAACTCTTGGATTCACGATGGAATATTAAGATATCTATTTTAGAAAGCTATCTTTACCAGTTTGCTATCTCCCGTTTTTATTCAGGATGCTCTCTATGTATGAGATAATTTTCCAAAAAGATGTTATGGTAATAAAAAAAGGCATGTGCTGTTTGTTGTGAATGTATTTAGATCACTTTATTCCCTGTTAAAAACACCATTTATGATTTTTTCCCCCATTCTGTCAGAGTATTCCTCTCCTTGGAAAGATCCTGAAGGTTGATCCCTGAGTGGTTTTAAAAATGTGTTACCTCCAGCATAGATTTCTTCTCTTTGTACTTTGGTCTGGCTGCTTTTTTCTAACTTGCTTTTAAAATGCTGTTATCACTTTTGCATGCAGCATATTAGGTGCTGAGGTGGTAAGTTCCAAAATTGATGATTCCCTAATTGTTGTTGATGAGAATAAAGTGCCACAAAAAAAGCTCACAGATGTATCTAAAGCCTATTGCCCTCTGGATTTATCAGCGCACATTTTCCTTCCCTATAGTACCACTCACCATCCCTGTAACTCTCAGGACCAAAATGCCCTGGCCTAGCTACTTTTTCCCTATGTGTGTTGTTTCCTCCAGCTAGATTGTAAGCTGCTTGAGGACAGGGGCTCTTTGCCATTTTTTTTTTCTTCAGCACTTAAGACAGTACTTGGCACATGGTTAGTGCTTAACATTTTATTGGTGTTTTTTTGTTGTCAGGATAATTTGATTTAGCTGGATACCACACCAAACTCTATGAAAGTTTATTTTCTCAGCTGTTTTTCATTATTTTGTGTGGTAATACTGCTTATTGTCTTCCATCATCATCCTCTGTAATGCTTTGTAAATGATCTCGTTCTCTAAACAGCGCTGCCCTTGGCTTCATCTCTACATTTGGCTAGGAGATTGCCAGCTAAAGTAGTTTCTGGGCTCTTTTGACCTCATTGTTGTGTCCCTGTCTTTTCATTTGTAACTTCTCTAGAAAATGGTGATAGAGGAAAAGTCTTTGCTTTTATTTATTACCCATTTTTTGTAGTTGATAGCTTGTCTAAACAGGTTAGGCTGGAGCTACTGTAACCACATGCAGTACTACCATTTCATTTTTATGTCTTCTTCTAATTGAGTGTTTACTTTGACCTTTAGTCTAACCAGCTGATGATCTGACAACACACAGACAACTGAATCAGAAATGACTGCTGTCTGTAACTAATCACTTCCAAGTTTTGTTGAAACACACACATACACACCCCAATTTTGTTTTTTTTTTTTGTTTTTAATGAAATCATTAGGTTCTTATAATGTCCAGTACCATCTGACTCTTCTTTTTTTTTAAAGTACCTATAATATTCAGGCCTGAAGCAAGCTCAGACATGTAAACCTTTGGTTTCTTCCTTCCTTGGCAATCATATTTTTCAACATAGCTTTTGCAGGAGTCTCCTATGGGTGACTTTTTATTGAAGTCAGAAGATGTCTTCTAGTCCAACCCTTTCGATGTAGCAGCTGAGCTAAGGCTTGGATCCCATGGCCAGTAAGCGGGCAGAAGTGCTCGATGTTGATTGAATTGAGAGCTTTTCATATCCCTTGTAGAACCCTTTCTTTATCTGCAGTGGATATGGGGGTGTCCATTTCAGTCATCTTGTGGTTATCCGTTGACTTACATTTTGGTCAGTGCTGCAAAGCAAGGTGATCAACTGTCCCATGAAATGATGTTTCTTCTTTCCCTTGGAAATGGGAGGAAACTAACTCTCTAAAGGGATGTACGTGGAAATTGGTTTTGCAGACTCAGTAAATGTATGTTGAGGGATTTGGTTTGGGGGTTTATTTGTTTTTTAATTTGTTTTATGGGAGGAGTTAGCAGGAGGGACAGATTAATTTTTTAAAACTTGAATAAGACAAATAAAATGAAAACAAGCAGGAAAAAAAAGAAACTCTGCCAATTCCTTTATTTGCCCAAGGGGTACCAGTGAGCCCTCCTTCCACTTATCTTGAACTCTCTCTCTTCTGGATTAATTTATAACAAATGGCTATATGAATATTGTTAGAACAGATAACATTGAGACTCCCAACAGATAAATTAATTTTAATTGCCAGTTTATGAAATGTGAGATTCCTAGCACCCTCTGCTTCCTTCTTCCCTTCCTTGCCACTGTTACTGTAGAAGCAGAAAAGGGTACAAAACTGAGGGATATTTTGTCTTTTTAACCATTTCGTGAGTTACTGTAACCAAAAATAAATCCATCACCTGGGTCAGCCTTCCATTGACATTCTTCCATATTTTCTGAGGCTGATGCTCAGAGTACAGATAATGTTATCAGGCTGGTACTTGAAGCCTTTTCAGGTGTATAAGACATAACAAAGCTTGTGTTTCAGTGATATTGTTTTCAAGAGGCGGTACCAGAATAGGACCTCACGAGAGGGATATATATTTTCTGAGTATAACATAGGAAGTCCTTACCTTTCATACTTCATTGGGAACCAAATAAATAATTATTTATTGACCAAATAAATAATTACTAGCAAAGTAGCAAAGATTTCAAAAAATCTGTTCAAATCATTTCTCCTGGGATTAGTAGAACAGGCTGTTTTCCTTCTGTGTCAGCTATTGACCATTCAGAGATAAAAGTGAGAATTAATTTATGGCTTAATTAGGCAACTTTCTTTGAAGCTGAAAAGGGAGAGAGGCTCTCCTTGTATTATTCAGAGCTCAATTATGAGCTCATTATTGTTTAACATTTTCTTCAGTGACCTGGAAGACGTAAAATAAAGAAAGAACTGTGTTCACACAATTTCCAGGTGAAATCAGTCTGGAAGTAGGGAGTATGTGGCACTTTAATAAAAATAATAATAATAATAATAATAGCTGGTATTTATGTAGTGTTTTAAAGTTTGCAAAGCATTTTACAACTATTGTCTAATCCTCACAACACTGTAAGGTAGGTGCTATTATCATCCCCATTTTATAGGTGATTTGCCAGGGCTACATAACTAAGTAAAATATCTTTCTGAGGCAGAATTTGAACTCAGGTTTTCCTGACTTCCAAGTCCAGCACTCAGTCCACTTCACCACCTAGCTGTCCCCTGGGAGAGATTTATAATTTAAAATAACTGGGATGTGTTGGGAAAAATATCAGAAACTAACATTGTGATAATCATCAGTAAAGAGAAATGTCACACAGAAGAAAAACTATGAGTTTAAAAAGGAGAATCATTTGCTATATATGAAGATTTTAGAAAAGTAGAGCTGAGTCAGCTAATAATGTTCTTAAAGCAACAAATGCGGGTACTGGGCATAAAAGAAAGTGTATCAATTTTTCCATATTTTATCTAACATATATTACTTCATACAAGAGTCTTATATCCAGGTTTTAGACTCTTTACCTTTAGTGGTAAGTTGAGAACTTGGAGTGGATTTAGTGACTAGGAACAAAATGATTAAAGGATTATAAAGTCAAACCTTTGAGTAAAGGCCCCAGGATTATTTAATTTAGAGAATAGAAGGGTAGATGACAACATCCTTGGAGAGTAGGAAGGGTTATTTTCTACAGAGTGGCCAAGTTGCCCTCTGACAAATAAGAAATTTGTAGAGTGATTTAGAGTGGATGTAAGGGGAAAAGTCTGGTCAGATTTCCTTAAAAAATCAGCATACATTACCATGGGAGACTGTGGCACTAAAGAAAACATAAAGTAGATAGATGTACATTTCTCTGGAATGGTTGGTTAAGCTCTTAGGGGTAAACTACGTATGTCTGTTCAGCTGCAAGCAAAGGGACTTCCCTAGCAGCATGGACAGCAGTGCAGCTAACAAGAGAAAATGACTTGGAAATTAATTCAGCTCTTTCAGACCTTACATGTATAAGATGAAACTGAGGCAAAGGAGAACTTAGTCTGAATACCACAGATTCCTGCATTGGATTCTGGAAGGGCCTTCCAAGGAAAGCTCTGTATCGCTGTTGTCATTTACTGTTAAACCCAAGCACCTCACTGTACTTTAACAAGTATGTATAACTTGCCCCAGTATAATTTAGTCACATATAGTAGTCCCAGAATTGTGCATTTTTCTCCTCCGGTGACAGTGACCTTTAGATCAATTGCATTTGTAATATTTCGAGATGTATACATGAGTGTATTCACAGTGCTGTGAATCTACTGTCAAAGGCTGTATAGATGTATATTTATGTTGCTTTCAATCCATAGTACTGAGATGTTTTTCTTTTTATATATAAATTTACTTGGAGGAGGAGAGAGGGACAGAAGACTCATAATGTTTGGCTTGAGAATTACAAGAGCATGAAATGGGAAGTTCAAAGTTGTGGTCTCCATAGCAATTCAACTGTGTTGTACACATTTCTCAAGATGTACATTTAACAGACCAACAAGTGATAAAAAAAAAAGTAATATATGCACACATAGGAAGCAAATCACCCCAATTTTAAGCATGTAAATGTTTCTCCTTAACCTTACCTTATTAAAACATCTACGCTTGGTTAAATGCTTAGGGCTTTCCTGATAGCAGTGGGTATGCTGGTGGACTCTGATCTCCTAATAGCTTGGTTACATTTTGATTCATTTTGATTTCAGAAATGTCTTTCAAATCACCAATTTTATTTTTCTCCCAATTCCTCTTATTTGCAGATATATGTTGGGTAAAGGAGGAAAACGGAAGTTTGATGAGCATGAAGATGGGCTGGAAGGCAAAGTTGTGTCTCCTACTGATGGTCCATCTAAGGTGTCCTACACCTTACAGCGCCAGACTATCTTCAACATTTCCCTTATGAAACTCTATAACCACAGGCCGCTGACAGAGCCGAGCCTGCAGAAGACAGTTTTAATTAACAACATGTTGAGGCGGATTCAGGAGGAACTCAAACAGGAAGGCAGCTTGAGACCTGTGTTCATCACCACTTCTCAGCCAGCTGACACTCTGGGGGACGATTACCGGGAGGCCCAGCCTGCATTCAGCCATCTCGCCTCCTCCCCAGCCCACCCGGCTGACTTAGCAAACACTACGTCCCTAGAGTCTTGCCTCACCCCAGCCTCTCTGCTGGAGGACGATACTTTTTGCACTTCTCAGGCCGTCCAACCCGACGGTCCTACGAAACTACCACCTCCAACCGTCCAACCAGAAAAGGACAGCTTCTCCTCAGCCTTGGACGAAATTGAGGAGCTCTGTCCAACACCTACCTCCACTGAGGCAGTAGCAACAGCAGTAGCAGCAGTTGACAGCTCTAAAGAAGGCTCCAGCGAGTCTAGCATTCAAAAACCTGAGGGACCCCAAGAGAGCCGGACAGCCGACGCAAAACTTATGGACTCGCTCCCTGGAAACTTTGAGATAACAACTTCCACAGGTTTTCTGACAGACTTGACCTTGGATGACATTCTGTTTGCTGATATAGACACATCAATGTATGACTTTGACCCCTGCACTTCTGCCACGGGGGCAGCCTCCAAAATGGCTCCCGTCTCTGCAGATGACCTCCTTAAGACTTTAGCTCCCTACAGTAGTCAACCAGTTGCCCCAAATCAGCCTTTCAAAATGGACCTTACAGAACTGGATCACATAATGGAGGTGCTTGTTGGGTCGTAAAACCTATAAAAACCTAGAGACTTTTTCTGTACCAGTATATACACACTTGGTAGTATTTTCACAACCCTACAGATTCACAGCACTGTGCATGCATCGTCCTTGCTTGCCTTTTCCAGAAAAAAAAAAAAAAAAGGATCACACTAGTACTTTTTGCCTCAAGCAGAGTTGGAGTGCCTTCATCCATGTATGACCACTTTTAATGTGTTTTTAAGTGGTTCCTCAAAGAAGACCTAAAAACCTGGTATAGGAAAGAATACATATTGAAGACAATATTACTACATTGTTACTACAAAAAAAAAAGTGAAGCACAAGGATTAAGTTGGGGAAAGCTGTAAATTGCATGTGCATATTTGTCTATTTTTTCTATAAGTTTTATTGCAAGAGGTAAAAAATTTATTATTTAGATAATCTCAGTATCTTTTTTGGCATTTTAGCCCTGTGTAGGTTGACTTAGCAATTCAGCCTTTTGGAGGCATTAACTACTCCTCTTAAGTGTTGCATTTACATGGCTGTTTAGAAACTGCTGCCCAAATTTATTTTATATTTTTGTACAGATTCTGCAGTTTATTATATTGTTTTTCTAAAAACAAATGCTGTTTATACACACAAAATAGCTATTTTGATAGGATTTGCTCACATAGTTCCTGCATACTTCAAATGTACAAGATGCGCTTGTACTTTTATACAGAGTTGTAATGTTTTATATGTGTATGGTGCAAAGAGAAAATCAGATCAAATTAATCTGCAGTTGATATCCCTAAATGCAAACACACAGTGCTTTAAGAAAGGGCCAGGAGATATTTCACCCAAGTTTCACAAGTACCAACTCCCTGGTATAAAAACACCTGTGTACTACTGTGATTTCCAAATCTAGAGCCATGTCTACTCATAAAACTTGTATTAAGCAGTTGGCAGGAAATAGCTGTGAAACTTGGGTTCTAAGTGATGGTTCTCTGTAGCTTTCTCTTTTGAGAGGAAGGCTACTGAAAACTTAGCCTTCAAGTATGTATGCCAAGTTACTGTTTTTAATTTTTTAAAAATTGAACCCAAATGTTTCATTTTAACATAATTTTCTCTGTGACTTGAACTTAATTAGCTTTCGAGAAAATCATCACATCTGAACTGAATTTTACTAAAATCAATCATTTTATGGAATGAAAATACCTATTAAGAGTAAGTTTATTTTGTTTTTAAATTGCATTTTAAAAAGGCATACATCATTTATTTGAATCATCTTATATTCCTCTTCCTCCCTTCTCCCCCTTCCTTGGAGCATTTGTTCACTATGTTGATAAGTGCTGAAAATGGCATCTTCAGTATTACTGCAGTGAAGCTCATCTCTTATCTGCACTGGATGGACTCTAACTTTAATATCCATTGCTGTGGAAACTGGAGTTAGTCACATTACATCACTTGGCATCTCCAGCGTGGTTGGTTTCTTTTATCAACTACGTTAACTGCTTTACACTTTATAGGCCTGTTGTACCAGAATATACAAACACAGCTTTCTATGCATGTTTCTTCTCTCCCTCCCATAACACCTGAGAAGTCTTCGTTACTGCACCAATAGCGTTTTTATTCATTGTGGTGTACATTTAATTTAAAAATGTTTGCAATGTATCATGCCTGTTGCTGAAATAGTTTATGGCATTTTAGGGCTCCCCCCTTCCCTTCCCCCTGCCATGGTACTTTAGCTGTTGCGTGCAAGTTGCAACCTATATTGTTGAAATGCATATGGCTTCTTTAGGAATAACTTTTATATTTATTTAAGAAATTTTAAATTATGGGGTTTTTTGTTTTGTTTGTCATTTGACAATATTCAGTCATCAGTTCTGCTCGCTTCTTGCCATGGATGAAATTGGGTATTTTCTGTCTATTAAAAGGATAACTTTATAAAATGGCACTTTAAATAGGCCATAGATAGTCTACATAATAATATAATGCACATGACAAAGCAGATAAATTACTCACATAAGTAAAAGGTTCATGTGTAAAATCCTTCTGGACCCTAGTTTACTTTCATACCCCTTGAGTTTTGTTTTAAAAGACCTGTCAACTCGTGAAGCAGCAAGAAACTAATAGAATTGTAGTTCCCTTCCAAGCAACCTTAACACCCATAACTTTTTTGATACTGCAGACAGATTAGGCATTATCTCTTGGTAGGATTAGGGACCATATTCAGTTGAGGAAATGGGAATGGGGATTATGTTATTTTTCATCCTGTGTAGTTGTGATTGCTCCATTTTGGCTCTTCTCTTCCTTATCAAAAAACAATCCTGCCCTCAGATTCCAAGATTTGTATAATTGGAGAACCCAGGAAAATAGCCACATGCGATACACGTATGTATGTAGATGTACAATAGTGCTGATTGTTTAGAATGATAATATGGTAAGCAATTGATTTACCATTGTTGAAAACTGATTTACAGTAACCTAGAACAACCACACTTTCGTTGGATTAGTAAATTGTGTATTTAAACAAAGACCATATGTTAGGCAATTGTTCAAAAGAGCACCATTTCCAAAGCAATGAAGTGTTGCCTAGAACTTATTCTTTGAAAATCCCTTATTTGTAAGGTAGTGTTAAAACAGAGAATGAGTATAATATATGTGTGTTTATATGTGTAAATACATGCCTATACGTGTATATGCCTATATATAATATATGTGTGCATATATATGGATAGGTATGTGAGTGTGTGTATATATGTGTGTATATGTTTAAGACATATGCATACATATATACACACGCTTAAATAAGGAAGATAAGGGAAATTGGTGGTCCATTTTAAAAGGGCAGAACCATCAGGTTTTAAACTTTTTTCTTTATTTTTTACAAAATGATGTACCAGAAAGTCAGAACAATCTTTATTGTGGTCTCTAAGCCCCAGCTCTACAGGGACATACTTGCAGAAGATTCCATGCTTTAGCAGTAACATTTCGTTTTATAATCTGGGCATCATGAACAGTTCAGAGTCAAACAGGCAGTTTGAGGAGCCTTTATAAAAGACACATGCCAGGCTTGGGTGGGTGTGGGGGTGGGTGTGGGGGGTGGCAGTGACATTTATTGACAATGATGTGCAATGAAGTGACAAGATGAGAGCAGAATGAAAAAGCTTTGAATTTGAAGTGATTTTTTCATAAGTTATTTATTCCTTTTTCTTTGTAAATATATTTATTTTATTGTGAAGCTAACAACATCTGGATTGTAACATGTACAGAATGTATGGTAGGAATGTATTCTCTTGTAGGAATGTAAATCTGTATTAAAAAGGGGATCAGAGCCAGACTCAGAAAATGAACTGGGTTCTTTTCATGGTATGCACGATTCACATTTATTTTTACTCTTTTCTAATGTGGGTCTATTTGAAATATGCAGAAGGTATGGATGAAGATTGTTTTAATCCCCAAATTTTTAGGAAAATCAAGCATTAAAGGGTCGATTTTTAAAAGATTTTTAATAGCACTGCTTTCCCTTTATCAAGGAAGGAGCAACCAGATTGACATGCTTGTTCATGCCAAAGGGTCAGAAACTAACCTCAGATACACACCTGAGTGTCTTTCTCATTCATTATCAGTTGATGCATTTAAATACTACTTTCCCTTGGGGTACCCTCACTGCCCTGAGGTAGAGAAAGGAACATTTATTGAAGTAAATAAACGCTGAAGAGCAGTAGTATATATTGTTACAGATAATTTTTAAAGCTTAAATTTAGGAATCACTTCTCTGAGGTAAGCAATGAATTAGGAATACCCCGGGGCACCCTTCTTAAATGACCAGTGGAAAATGCCGACAAACCCCCCCCCCAACTTTGTGCGGGATTTGGGGGGTTCTGCTGTCTGTTCATGTCCTGGATTGTTTCAAAATGATTGCTGCAAATCTGACCTTAATACTGCCTGCCAAAATTCAAATCATCACATTCAACATGTTTTGGATGAGAAATGGTTAATTTCCTGCCACACTCGGGTACATTGATCCTAGAGAGGTTTGTGTGATCTACATGCTTTCAGAAGGCTTTTGGTGCTTCTTAAAATTGAAGCTGACTGATTCTTGAAAACGAGCCAATTTAAAATTCTGCTGAAAACAATAAAATTAATAAAGATTCTGCACTTTGGGGAAGAAAACTATTGGAGATAAATGTAATCCATACATGTAAACAGCAAAGATTCTGGAAAAGGTGTAAATAGTGTGAAATGTTTGGTGTATGACTGTTGAGAAGGGCGTGTTGTCAAAAAGGAGGCTGTAATTTCCCCCACAGACCTTAGAGCTGTGCCTTTTCTATGCAATATTACAGACATATACATCTGAACCCAGATTACTGTATTCACATGTAGGTATGGGCTGTAATCTAAACAATTGGATAAATGTACATGGAAATAAGCAGTCTTACTTTTGTAGTTTTATATTATACAATAAACAGTTAAAAGGATAGAGTTGTGTTTGTGTTTTTTTTGGCTTTTCCATCTACATGAGTTGTTGAATGGCCCATTACAGTTTAAAGTGTTAAAAATGTAATGGCTTTTTTTCTCTAATTATGATTAATTAAAATTTAGTAAATCAACCAAATGTGTATTGAGCATTGGTCAAAGAGCCTATAGTCTTATTGAGAGGAGACAAAATATACACAATTTGTATATTTTGAAATGGGAGTTTGCAGAGGGGATTCCTTTTCAAGTATGGGTTGGAACAGACGACCTCTGGGGACCTCGTTCTGTGATAAAAGTCAACATCGATACTAACCACTGCTGAAAGGCAGTGACAGCAAGAAATCTGCTGTTCAGGTCTCCATTCTGATGCCAGCTCTGTGACCATGGACAAGTAATTGAACCTCTTTCAGCCTGAGTTTTCTTATCTGTAGAACAGGGAAGGCGTGGAATAATATTTTGAGGTTCCTTCCAACTCTGAAATTATATGTTCTGTGATGTGTATGATACCTGTCTCAGGGGTAGTTATGAAGGACTCCTTAGTAACCCTAATACTAGATGTAGATAGATGTGTGTGCGCCAGCTACATAGAGGTGAGCTAACATCTCTTGGTAAATGCATGATTTAGACAAAAGCTGTCCCAAGTTGAAGGTATATTTTAGGACCTAGTTAGTAATAAAAGCTATAGAATTTTCATAGACACTTATAAACTAGATAAGCTGATTTAAACTAGA